CCCGCCCCCGCCGCCCGCACAGGCCCCGCCCCTGCACCCCTACAAGTGCACCATGTGTAACTACTCCACCACGACTCTGAAAGGGCTGAGGGTGCATCAGCAGCACAAGCACTCCTTCTGCGACAACTTGCCAAAATTCGAGGGGCAGCCCTCCAGCCTGCCAGCGGACGGCGAGACGGACAGCCACCCCTCTTCCAGCAACACTGTGAAGAAAAGTCAGACCTCAATTCTTGGGCTGTCCTCCAAGAACAATTTTGTAGCTAAGGCCTCTAGGAAACTCGCTAATGACTTTCCTCTCGACTTATCGCCCGTGAAGAAGAGGACCCGGATTGACGAGATAGCAAGCAACCTGCAGAGCAGAATTAACCAAACCAAACAGCAGGAAGATGCGGTGATCAACGTGGAGGATGACGAGGAGGAGGAGGAAGACAACGAGGTGGAGATCGAGGTGGAGCTGGACCGGGAAGAAGAGCCGCCGGAGCCCGTCCTGGAGGTGCCCACGTCCTTCTCAGCGCAGCAGATCTGGGCGAGAGACGCCTCTGAGCCCCAGAAGGAGCCCAACTTCAGAACTGTCACCCACGATTACAATGCCACCAACGGGGCTGAGATAGAGCTCACCCTTTCTGAAGACGAAGAGGATTATTATGGCTCCTCCACGAACATGAAAGATCACCAGGTTTCCAGCGCTGCTCTGCTCAACACCCAGGCTCCTATCTACGGCACTGAGCACGGTAATGAAAATGCGGACTTTAGCGACTCGGGAAGGCTTTATTATTGCAAACACTGTGACTTTAACAACAAATCTGCCCGGAGCGTCAGCACCCACTACCAGCGCATGCACCCGTACATTAAATTCAGCTTCAGGTACATCTTGGACCCCAACGATCACAGCGCAGTGTACAGGTGCCTGGAATGCTACATCGATTACACCAACTTCGAAGACCTGCAGCAGCATTACGGCGAACACCACCCAGAAGCCATGAACGTCCTCAACTTCGACCACTCGGACCTGATCTACCGGTGTCGGTTTTGCTCCTACACGAGCCCCAACGTCCGAAGCCTGATGCCGCATTACCAGCGAATGCACCCCACCGTCAAGATTAACAACGCGATGATATTTTCGAGCTACGTGGTGGAGCAGCAGGAGGGGCCGAACACAGAGTCCCAGACGCTGAGGGAGATCCTGAATTCGGCTCCCAAGAACATGGCCGCGTCCGCTGCCGTGGCCCGTGGCGGCGGGGTGCCAGCTCCGTTCCCTAAGAACACCCCTTCCAAGACCTTTCCTCCAGAATGTGAAAATCAGAAGGACCCCTCGGTCAGCACCGTTGTCGTGTACGATTGTGACGTTTGCTCCTTCGCGAGCCCCAACATGCACTCTGTGTTGGTTCATTATCAGAAGAAACACCCGGAAGAAAAGGCCTCCTACTTTAGGATCCAGAAAACCATGCGAATGGTGTCTGTGGACAGGGGCTCTGCCCTTTCTCGGTTGTCATTTGAGGTGGGTGCTCCAGTGTCTCCCAAAATATCCGCCATGGGTTCCCCACCCCCCCCACCGCCCCCGCCACCAGACCTCGGTACCGAGCTTTACTACTGCAAACACTGCTCCTACAGCAATCGGTCAGTTGTGGGAGTCCTTGTCCACTACCAGAAAAGACACCCAGAGATAAAGGTTACCGCCAAATATATCAGACAGGCTCCTCCCACAGCCGCAATGACGCGAGGGGCCGATGGGCCCCAAGGCTCCCCCCGGGCACCGGCCCCCAGGCAGCAGCTCAGCCGGAGCGGCTCCGAGAGAGACGGCCCTCCGGCGGAGAGTGAGATGTTCTTCTGCCAGCACTGTGATTACGGGAACCGCACGGTCAAAGGTGTCCTCATCCATTATCAGAAGAAGCACCGAGACTTCAAGGCCAACGCGGACGTGATCCGGCAGCACACAGCCACCATCCGAAGCCTCTGCGACCGTAACCAGAAGAAGCCTGCCGGTTGCGTGCTGGTCCCCTCCTCGAACGTGGAGCGGGACAGAACGAAACTCCGGGCGCTCAAGTGTCGTCAGTGCTCGTACACCTCCCCCTACTTTTACGCACTGAGGAAGCATATCAAGAAAGACCACCCTGCCCTGAAGGCCACAGTCACGTCCATCATGCGGTGGGCATTTCTAGATGGCTTGATAGAAGCTGGCTACCACTGCGAGTGGTGCATCTATTCCCACACAGATCCCAACGGTTTGCTCCTCCATTACCAGAGGAGGCATCCCGAGCATTACGTTGATTATACGTACATGGCCACCAAGCTCTGGGCTGGGCCAGACCCATCCCCTCCCTCTCTCACGATGCCAGCTGAAGCCAAAACGTACAGATGCCGAGACTGTGTTTTTGAGGCCGTCTCCATCTGGGACATCACCAATCACTACCAAGCGTTCCACCCCTGGGCCATGAATGGGGATGAGTCCGTGCTGCTGGATATCATCAAGGAGAAAGATGCTGTCGAGAATCCCATCCCTCCGCCTGAAGAGCTCGTGGGCCCTGTGAATTGTGAAAACAGTATGCCGGCCCCCCCCGAGCAGGAAGCTGAATGCCCCGAGGACGCCAGGCTTTCCCCGGAGAAGAGCCTCCAGCTAGCGTCAGCCAACCCCGCCATCTCCTCTACCCCGTACCAGTGCACCGTGTGCCAGTCCGAGTATAACAACCTGCACGGCCTTCTGACCCATTATGGGAAGAAGCACCCAGGCATGAAAGTAAAGGCTGCTGACTTTGCCCAGGATATCGACATCAACCCGGGCGCCGTCTACAAATGCAGGCATTGCCCCTACATCAACACCCGCATCCACGGTGTCCTGACCCACTACCAGAAGCGACACCCGTCCATCAAGGTGACTGCTGAGGACTTCGTGCACGACGTGGAGCAGTCCGCCGACATAGCCCAGAACGACGTGGAGGAGACGAGCAGGATCTTCAAGCAAGGGTACGGCGCCTACCGCTGCAAACTGTGTCCCAACACGCACGGCACTTTGGAGAAGCTCAAAGTCCACTACGAGAAGTACCACAACCAGCCTGAATTCGATGTCTTTTCCCAGCCCCCCCCGAAGCTGCCCGTGCCCCTCGAGCCCGAGATAACCACTGAAGCGAGCCCCTCCCAAGTCTCCGTGGCCGAGGACGAGGTGGGAGAGGAGCCCGTGTCCGCGTCGCACTTCGCGGCCTCGCACCTGGTGTCCCACACCGTGTTCCGGTGCCAGCTCTGCAAGTACTTTTGCTCCACGCGGAAGGGCATAGCCCGGCACTACCGCATCAAGCACAACAACGTGCGCGCGCAGCCTGAGGGCAAGAACAACCTCTTCAAGTGCGCCCTGTGCGCCTACACCAACCCCATCCGCAAAGGGCTGGCCGCCCACTACCAGAAGCGCCACGACATCGACGCCTACTACACCCACTGCCTGGCGGCCTCCAGGACCATCAGCGACAAGCCCAGCAAGGTGATCATCCCGTCGCCGCCCAAGGACGACTCCCCGCAGCTCAGCGAGGAGCTCCGGCGCGCCGTGGAGAAAAAGAAATGCTCCCTGTGCCCCTTCCAGTCCTTCAGCAAGAAGGGCATCGTGTCCCACTACATGAAGCGCCACCCGGGGGTGTTCCCCAAGAAGCAGCACGCCAGCAAGTTGGGGGGCTACTTTACCGCCGTCTACGCCGACGAGCACGAGAAGCCGGTGCTGATGGAGGAGGAGGAGAGAGGCGGCTTCGAGAAGGCCGAGGTGGAGGGCAGCGAAGGGCAGGAAATCGAGTGGCTCCCGTTCCGCTGCATCAAGTGCTTCAAGCTGTCCTTCAGCACGGCGGAGCTGCTGTGCATGCATTACACGGACCACCACAGCCGGGACCTCAAGAGGGACTTCGTCATCCTGGGCGGCGGCCCCCGCCCGCAGAGCTCCGCCTACCAGTGCAAGCACTGCGATAGCAAACTGCAAAGCACGGCGGAGCTGACCTCACACTTGAACATTCACAATGAGGAATTCCAGAAGCGTGCCAAACGTCAGGAGAGGAGGAAACAGCTTTTGAGCAAGCAGAAATATGCAGATGGTGCTTTTGCAGATTTCAAACAAGAGAGGGTAAGGATATGTTTTGCTTTCCCTTCCCCCAGGAGGCCTCTCATCACTGGTGCCCACATGCACGTCTTCGCTGCCAGCCAAACCGCTACGGGCTTCCTAGTGACTTAGCCTGCCAGAGAGCTCAATAAGTCAATTAAACATTTCGAGCTTGATTATCCCCCCCGTGTTCTACGCTCACCCTTCTCCCCGGCCCCGTCCCCCTCCCTCTCGCCCCTCCCAAGGTTCCCCAGGGGAGGGTCGGGTGGCTTTTCTGTATTTCTCTCTGCCAAGTAGCCGTATCCGAGGCCTAGTTACAGGACAACGCTCGCTCTCTTTCCCAAGGCAGTTGCGGGCCGTCTCTTGGTATCGTTAGCGCTCTGCAAGTACTTTTGCTCCACGCGGAAGGGCATAGCCCGGCACTACCGCATCAAGCACAACAACGTGCGCGCGCAGCCTGAGGGCAAGAACAACCTCTTCAAGTGCGCCCTGTGCGCCTACACCAACCCCATCCGCAAAGGGCTGGCCGCCCACTACCAGAAGCGCCACGACATCGACGCCTACTACACCCACTGCCTGGCGGCCTCCAGGACCATCAGCGACAAGCCCAGCAAGGTGATCATCCCGTCGCCGCCCAAGGACGACTCCCCGCAGCTCAGCGAGGAGCTCCGGCGCGCCGTGGAGAAAAAGAAATGCTCCCTGTGCCCCTTCCAGTCCTTCAGCAAGAAGGGCATCGTGTCCCACTACATGAAGCGCCACCCGGGGGTGTTCCCCAAGAAGCAGCACGCCAGCAAGTTGGGGGGCTACTTTACCGCCGTCTACGCCGACGAGCACGAGAAGCCGGTGCTGATGGAGGAGGAGGAGAGAGGCGGCTTCGAGAAGGCCGAGGTGGAGGGCAGCGAAGGGCAGGAAATCGAGTGGCTCCCGTTCCGCTGCATCAAGTGCTTCAAGCTGTCCTTCAGCACGGCGGAGCTGCTGTGCATGCATTACACGGACCACCACAGCCGGGACCTCAAGAGGGACTTCGTCATCCTGGGCGGCGGCCCCCGCCCGCAGAGCTCCGCCTACCAGTGCAAGCACTGCGATAGCAAACTGCAAAGCACGGCGGAGCTGACCTCACACTTGAACATTCACAATGAGGAATTCCAGAAGCGTGCCAAACGTCAGGAGAGGAGGAAACAGCTTTTGAGCAAGCAGAAATATGCAGATGGTGCTTTTGCAGATTTCAAACAAGAGAGGGTAAGGATATGTTTTGCTTTCCCTTCCCCCAGGAGGCCTCTCATCACTGGTGCCCACATGCACGTCTTCGCTGCCAGCCAAACCGCTACGGGCTTCCTAGTGACTTAGCCTGCCAGAGAGCTCAATAAGTCAATTAAACATTTCGAGCTTGATTATCCCCCCCGTGTTCTACGCTCACCCTTCTCCCCGGCCCCGTCCCCCTCCCTCTCGCCCCTCCCAAGGTTCCCCAGGGGAGGGTCGGGTGGCTTTTCTGTATTTCTCTCTGCCAAGTAGCCGTATCCGAGGCCTAGTTACAGGACAACGCTCGCTCTCTTTCCCAAGGCAGTTGCGGGCCGTCTCTTGGTATCGTTAGCGCTTCTCAGCCATGTCTTGGTTTGCAGTGTCGGCTACAGGAACCTAACGTCTCCAGGAGTAGAGTTTTTTTTTTTTTTTTCTTTTTTGGTCAAGAAGTTCGCTAATGGCGTAGCTGTGCGACGTTTCACCTGTGTAGTTGAAAAATTGGTTTGAAAACCAGATAACTTGGTGGCAGTGACAATGAGGCTTCAGCACCGAGATCCTCTCTCCTCACAAGTCGTAACCTGTTTGGGTTCTGGAGACTTCTCGCGCGCGCGTGCACAGTGGGCAGCGCGCCTCGCCCCTGACGAATCTGTTATGTAAAACTGCTCGCCGTGTTATCTCCCTTGGTTTTTAACCTGCTAATCTGCTTTAACGTAAAATCTGCTAGTAAGCTGCAAGAATAAATGCCGGCCATTGAGGGAGGGCTCGGAGTACTGATGGCTACCACTGTATTTTACCAGCCTTTTGGTCACTTAGAAGAGGTGCCAAAGATCAAGGAGAGGAAGGTGGTGGGCTACAAATGTAAATTCTGTGTGGAAGTGCATCCGACGCTCCGGGCCATCTGCAACCACCTGCGCAAGCACGTCCAGTACGGCAGTGTCCCGGCCGTGTCAGCCGCCGTGAAGGTGAGCACTGGGAAGGTCTGGATGAGGAGTCTTGTGTGTGAGCCCTTCGAGTTCCTAATTCACGCCGTTGCTCAGAGCCGCTCAGGAAAGGGCGACCCCCAATGTGTGGGCGTTCCTGAGTTATGCTGGGATCGGTCTGGCTTGTTTTGATTTCTTTACAGGTTGGATCCTCCTCATCTTCCGTGTTTCGACCCGGTTGCGTTTCGATCTGGTTCCCTTCCACGCGGATAGTCTGGTGGAAACAGAAGATCCGGGCCTCTCGGTACAGGAGGCTTTGGGTCTCCCTTCTGTGCTGCATTTAGTGCCGTCAGGTGTTTGCTTTTGCAAGCGGCCCGGGCTCTTGAGAGGAGTCCAGTGGGTTCTGTTCCCATCCTCTTCTGCACCTCCCACTGCCTGACTTCTTGTTGTTCTCATCTGGCGAAGGTGCAGAGAGCCCGGGAGAATCTGTCTTTTACTTCTTATCCTGGGTCCCCGGAGAAGCGTTCAGAAACGTTAAATCTAAAACTGAAAGCCTTCAGGTCACAGTTGGCCCTGTGAGCCCTTTTGACCTGATTTGTCTCCTCCATCCCCTCTCCCTCTGTGTTGCTGGCGAGCACCTTCTCTCTGCCCCCGACCAGTATTAGGCCACCTGGTTTGAAGATCATAATCCTAAAATGAGCCCCTGGTTCAGTGACCAAGCTGCCATCCCTGCCTTCCAGGGTATTGCTAACCGCTTAGTGTTGAGCAGAGAAGTCAGTTCAGGGCTCTGCTCTCTGTCTCTGGATACGTGAATTCATTTCTGTCATCAGCCCTTCTTGATCTTGAGTCCTGTTTTGCCAGTGTGGCGTGGAGGCGCAGCTTCTGCTCTTCCCATTGAAGACTGAAGCCTTGCGGCTGGCGGCACAACAGTGAGTGGCACCGGGACAGCATCAGTCGGCTTCCTGCCCGCCACCAGGGTGTGTCCCAGCCTTGCGTCCCATAATTGCTCAAGGGAGACAGCGGCTCTTCCCATGTAATCGGTAATCCAGAGGAGCCACCCCAAACCAGGCTAGGCTGCTTCTTAATTTTTTTGAACTGATTGTACAGCAACCTTCGGTCAAGGGGTGATGTCACCGCCTGTGAGATGGGGATGAGCGTGGTGGCAGAGAGCTGGGTCTTGCAGTTTCCTTCATTTCCCGAGGGTGTTCCAAGCCTCCCAAGTGACCATATACCACACCATTCTCCTTTTTCCCCTTCCTTCCTCTCTTCCTTTCTCTGAGCCATAACCCTAACCTGCTTTATATCAGTTTCGGTAGGATCCCAATTTGAATTTTCTCTTTAAGATAGAAGGTAAGTGAGTGAACTGTCTTCAAAGTGGGAGAGCCTCTTCCTCACCTTTCCCAGACAGTAGCAACCTGTGTCCGGATATGTTGCCCTCACATCACCACCACTGCATGAAGGATGGCAGTTGGGTTTGCCCTCCCTCTGGGGGGAGCTGGAGAGGCAGGGGAGGAAGCCTTAACAGGAAGTGCTTAACAGGAGTTTGGGAGAATGAAGGGAGAGGAAGAGAGCTGGGAGCGATGATGATGGATATTTATTTTGTCGGTGGGGCATGTGTGTGTGTGTGGTTCTCTTAGCAGGAGGCTGAAGACCCTTCCCACTTGTTCCTGGATGGACTGGAAGCAGCCAAAGATGCCAGTGGCGCCCTGGCGGACCGGGTGGATGGTGAACACTGCTTGCTTGATGGAATGTTGGAGGATGAAACCCGGCCGGGGGGATACCATTGTAGTCAATGTGACAGAGTCCTGATGTCCATGCAGGGGCTGCGTTCTCATGAGAGGAGCCATCTGGCCCTGGCCATGTTTACCCGCGAGGACAAGTACAGCTGCCAGTATTGCTCCTTTGTTTCTGCTTTCAGGCACAAGTAAGTGCTCACCAAGTGGGTGCAAGTGGTAACTGGAGGAGGTGGAAGGCAGGAGCGCTTGGAGGTGTCTGAAGGTCCCGCTCATGGTTCAGGCCTGCCGTTTAGTTGGCTGTGTTACCTCGAGCCTCTGTCACCTCACCTGTCAAATGGGGCTGAGAACAGGAGATTGTTCACCTGACATCAGATTTGGCAAAATCGGGCATTTAGAAAAAAAATTGAAGTATAGTTAATTTACGAGGTTGTGTAAATTTTAAGTGTACAGCAGAGTGATTCAGTTACACACACACACACACACACACACACACACACACACACACAATACACATACGCATTCTTTCTCAGACTCTTTTCCGTTACAGGTTATTACAAAATAACGAGTATAGTTCCCTGTGCTATACAGTAGGTCCTTGTTGTTTACCTATCTTATATAAAGCCGTGCAGCGGTCCCCAACCTTTTTGGCACCAGGGACCAGTTTCTTGGAAGACTGTTTTCCACGGGGCGGGGGGTTGGTTCAGACAGTAATGTGAGTGATGGAGAGTGGCGGATGAAGCTTGCTTCACTCGCTCGCCCGCAGCTCACTTTCTGCTGTGCGGCCTGCTTGGGGGACCCCTGTAGTAGTGTGTATCTGTTAATCCCACACTCCTAATTTGGTCTCCCCGGCCCCTGCTGTCCCCTTTGGTAACCATAAGTTTGTTTTTTATGTCTGTGAGTCTGTTTCTGTTTTGTAAATAAGTGCATCTGTATCATTTTTTTTTAGATTCCACATACAAGTGATATCATATGGTTGTTTATCTTTCTGTGTCTGACTTACTTCACTAAGTATGATCATCTCTAGTTGCATCCCTGTTGCTGCAAATGACATTATTTCATTCTTTTTTATGACCTAGTGATATTTCATTGTATATATGTGCCACATCTTCTTTATCCATTCATCTGTTGATGCACATTTAGGCTGCTTCCATGTCTGGGCTATTGTAAATAGCACTGCTATGAACATTGGGATGCGTGTATCTTTTTGAATGAGAGTTTTCTAAATTGGGCATTTTCTTAAATGATAATTTTGGAGGTATTGCTACGACTTACACAAGGAAAGACCAGAGAGTAGATGAGTTCACTGGTGCATCTGTCAAACATTCATCCAGAACCTAATCATCATTTGAGGAAGTAAAGTTCCATCTGGGAAATTTTAAGCGGCTAAGGAGGTAAAATTAGGACTTTTTAACCCGTATGACCAAAGGGTCATTGCTTGGCATTTTTAAAAAGACCTGGAATGGTAAAGAAGTTTATCGATGCCAGAGAGATGCTTGAAGTACAGGGTGGGTTGAGGAGACGGAGTTTCCTGCTACCTGGCACAGCTTTGAAATTGAAAATTTGGGTTTTTGTGTGAGGCTTTTCGGGGTGATAGGAAGAGGGGTGGTTCTGAGAAGAAACAACCTTTTGTTGCCTTTCTCTCACAACTGTATGAGAGAGAAATTTTCAATAACGTGTTCTACAGTCTTGGATGAAGGTGACTGATTGTGAGACTGACACGCTGTTTATTTTTATCATAATTGAAAATAAGTGATGGGCTGTTTGCTTCTTAAAAAAGATAAAGTGCTAGTTAGTGGCTGTTGAAAGGCAGAAAGAGGTGATGCTTCCACAGAGGTTAGGATGGGTTGCAAACTCTTTTATGATTATACAGAGCCTAGTATCCAATCTTTGTCATCAGATTCATGCCCTGGCCTCAAACTTGTGTAGTTCTCATCCGTTCGATGAGTATTTGTTGGACAGCAACTCTCAACGTCTTCTGACACACACAACCTCAATAAATCGTTGTGAATAAATGAATATGCCCTGTTGTTGAGGTTTCGGGGGAATATAAAGATGAATAGCACATGGTCGGTGATCTCAGGGAACTTAGGGTCTAGTCGGGTTATAAGTAAAGCAAGCACACAAATGACTTGGCAAAATAAGGCACATGTCTTTAAAAAAAAAAAATGTATCAGTAAAATGCAATGAAGTTTCAAAGAAGGGAGATGGTACATCTACTTTGGAAGAATCGGGAAGGTTTTATGGAACAGGGAGCATTGGAGTCAAGTCTTAAAGTAGGAAGACAGGACCTGCCAAGTTTGGAAGGAACATGCAATGTGGAGGAAACGATGAGAGAGTAGGGCCCTGAGGAAGAGATCGATGCTTAGGGGGGACCAGCTGGCGGTCTAGTTGGACTAATTTTTAAGTGATATGTAAAGGAACAGTAGAAGGTAAAGTCTGAATACCTGAGTAGAGACAGCATTTGGGGGTCTTTGAATGCAGAATTAGTGCTTTGTAATATACATTTTTACTGGTAAAAGGAAGACTCTGAAACGAGTAAAGGCATCTTAATCACTAACATTTATTGAGCCTTACTGTGTGCCAGGCACTGTGCTCCGTGCCTTCAAGTATTACCTCATTTTATTCTCAGAACAGCCCTATGAGGTATGGTCCCATTATTATCTCCCTTTCATAGGTAAGGGAAGTGAGGCCTTTTAATATAGAGGGGTTATGGAACTTGCCCAAGGCCACTCGGCTTATGAGTAATAGCTGGCATTTGATCTCAGGCAGTCTGACTCCAGCGCTTGTGCGTTTGAGTTGGAAAAAAGATGGGGGGGACCAATTAGGAGGCGGTGATAGTAGGTGATCCACGAAGTTAGAATGGGACTTTGGGAGCAGTTGAGGGAAGGAGGATCTTCATGTCTTGGGAAAATTGGCTTACTGGAGGGCAAGAGGGACAAAGTACAGTACAAATGGCACGGAGGTTTCCAGGCTGGTTGACTGACAGCTTGGAAGTGTTCTTTCTACAAAAGGAATGAAGAAGAGAATTTGTTTGGGATTTAAAAAAACTGACGTGTTTGTTTCAGGCTGGTTGAGTTTAGGATAGCTGAAGGACATTCAGCGGGAGGTGTCCTTAGGCAGTGTGGAAAGGGCTGCTTTGGAGCTTGGGAGAACATTATATATTTAAATGGTAAGCAGTACTGTTCCCACATGAGTCATTTAGAATGGAATCTAGTTCTCCGGGGCATTGATACAAATTAAATTAGAACATCTTCCCACACCTCGTTTGGTAGATTTATTATTTTTTTAGAGTAGTAATTATTATGAAATACTGGGAAATTATAATTAAATCATTTCTTTATAAGTTGCTTCTGGAATACGGATGTACAGCAAACATGGTTTTATCAGAAGCCATGGCCAGCCTTTGGATCACATGATTTCCTGTAAACACACCTGCACTGGACCTCCATATTTAGAAAGACCTTGAAAATAGCCCATTGCAAGTGCCCTGCTCAAGTGTTCGCAGCGGAATTAAGATTTAAGAAGAAAGTCAGCCTTTTTTACATGCAAAATTTCTCTAATTCCCTTTTTTTTTTTTTTTTTTTTTTTTTTTATGGTATAAGTTCAAGGACTCTTCGATAGGCACCTCATTGACTTTTCAGAAAACTTAAATTTGTCCATATTTTACCTTTTCTGTGTAGATGCCCTCTTCCACTTCACAGTACTTTAGGGAAGGGAAAATAAGTCTACCAAGACCTGTTTCCATTGCCACGTCTCTCAATCCAAAAACAAGTTTGATCTCTTCTTTCCTTTAGCTTCTCCGACTCTTGCCAGTTTGCGTTTGTTTGTTTGTTTGTTTTCCTCCTGTAAGCACCATCCTTGGAAAGTAACAAAATGACTTTGAACAGCTTAGAAATGGGATTTCTGGAAAAGGGCAATGAGGAAATGTTGGATGCAACTTTTAATATTGTCATTTCCTTTGCTTTTCTTCTACATCAAGTTTGGATCGCCACATGCAAACCCACCACGGACACCATAAACCATTCCGATGCAAGCTCTGCTCCTTCAAGTCCTCCTACAACAGCCGGCTGAAGACACACATCCTCAAAGCTCATGCTGGTGAGTTGGTGTTCGCAGTGCACTAGTTCCCTGAGTTTGAAATTTAATAGTCTTCAGCGAGTGAAATTTTTAAGTCTCTTGCTCCATACACATGAGAATAAGTTTCTCTTGAGATGGTTGTGTATTCAGTTTTATTTTGATCTAATTAAAAAAATTAAAGAATGGCCCAAAGGCAAAATAATACCAAGTACCATGTCACGCATGTCATAGTTGATTCGTGCAACTAACACATACCTACTGCCAGATTCTTGCTACTCACAGGTTCTGTTTTCCAGGGAAATTTCTAAATTACCTGAACTTTCTAATGGAAATGCAAGAATTGGTACATCTCCTGAAGATAATTTCCAACTAAAATAAAGTGATAATCTTGGGGACGTTCAAAGGGACACAGAGACCTCAGGATGTGTGAGATTTCTCATGAGATGCCCTTAGATGCATTTCCACATCCCAGATAAGAAGTGACCTTGGGTCATGAGTGTCCAGGAGTTGTGTTGATCTCCATCACTCTGTCATCCCATCTCATCGTGCTCGTCTCATGAACATCCCTTACGTACCAGTCTCTGTACTAATAAGCATGGTATATTCATCATCTCATTTAATCTTCAGGGCAGTCCCAAAGGGTAGATGTTGTTGTCACCCTCAGTGTCAGATGAAGCCACAGAGACTCAGAATCCAGTGTCCTGCTCAATGCCACAGAGCCCATTCACTAAGGATTTGACTCCAGAACAAAAGCCTGCATCCTTGTCACTCACAGGATGCTGCCTCCCTCTCTCTTCTGCTCTTTTCTACTTGGCATATGATGGAGGATGCCCGCAGGTGGCTAATCAGAACTCATCCAAGAGAGGAAAGAGGCATGAGTAAGAAAGGCAGTGTGGCCAGGGTCTGGGGGGCCTCCTCCCAGGATGTCCCCAGTCCTCTGAGAAGCCCGGCTCCGCAGCAGCCTGTGGCCCTCTCAGAGGTGTTGTCAGCCTTTGAGGAACTCACATCAAACAAAGGAAAATTGGGGAACCAATAGCTTTAGAATAGCTAGCAATACTGTCAGAGATTCTTCTAGAGATCCAGTCTCTCCCCTGAGTTTCCTCAGCTAAGGTATTTAGAATTCTAGTTGAATTCTAGTTTCAAATTTTTCAATCAACTAGAATTTTTCTGTCTCATTTATTTGCTTCCCTTCCCTTATTAGCTTCTTATTAACTGCCTAGAACCCGAGTCCTTCACTTTTGTCATCTCCTCATCCCCTGTGGAAATACGGCCATGCCTCTGCTGTTTCCTGAAGGTTGGGTCCTGTTGAACAGGCCTAATGGAGTAAAACTACGGAAGCCTTCAGGATGCCCTAAGCCCACTGGGGGTGGGGGAGGGAATGGCAGATTAGCTGTATGGGCTCTTCTCTATCTTTTAGTATTTTTATATCTTCCAGAACACTTTACTAAAGTCCATGGAGTAAGAGGCTTCGGGGTTCAAACCACTCTTTTCTAACTGGTGTATCTTGTAAATTATTCACTCGGGACATTATCCTGGGGAGTTTTCCCCATAGATCTCAGCCTTGTCAAAAACACTTTACCAGTGGGAGTTGGGTAAGTGATTTGGCCTGTGGGAAAGACTTTAAAAAAGTGCCACAGGCTACACACTGACTCCAGGGCATTGAGCTGAAGTGTATATTCTTGGAGCTGACCAAGCAGAGTGGTCTTCTGTGCTTGCTGGTTTGCAGGAAGGAAGCATCCAGAGAGAGAGGGTGGGAGCATCGTAATCCAGTTCTCCACACACCTTGAACCGTTGGTGTCTATGACTTGGTCTTAGCTACAGAGAGTGGCTTGGCTTGGAGAAAGCCAAATCATTTTCCAGAAGACTCTTGTCTGTTCTAGATGGAGTATTTTATTTTATTTTATAGGGTAAAAGGTAGTGCGTACTAACCAGATACTGGATTTGAATTCTCTCTCAGGTTATGCTACTTATAACCACCCACCAAGGTTCATATAGCCAGGTTTGCACTGAAAAATTGAGAAGTGGAATAAGGAGAGCAGTAGTATACAATATGACATATATTTATTATTTCAGTAAACACCATCATTCATACCCAGCATTATCCTGTAGCTAACAGGTCATGGTCTGAGGGGTGTGGAATTGACTGGTGTTCTCGTTTGGGTCCTCTGACTTCTTTGTGCTTCTCTTCTGCTTTGGGCTGTAGCATGTTGCATCATTCAAGGTTTTGTGTGGGTCTCTTCAAGGCTTTCTTGGAAATGCACACTTTGGGGGTCATCAGTGGTGAAAAGGAGGCTTGAATGCGGGACTTCAGATGCTGGTCTCACTTCGCGTGAAACCACTTAGTAGTTATAGGGGTGGCAGGAAAGTAACCATCTCAGCAGGGTAAAAGCAAGAGTGGAGGTTTAGGGCTTCCCTGGTGGCGCAGTGTTTGGGAGTCCGCCTGCCACTGCAGCGGACACGGGTTCGTGCCCCGGTCTGGGAAGATCCCACATGCAAAAAAAAAAAAAAAAAAAAACGTGGAGGTTTACTAGCTCATTCTTGCTGTGCTTTGGTGAGCATTTGTCCGTAGCACGTCAGCGCCGTCCTCAGTTCATATTCACTGGTCCACAAAACCTTCGTTACTAACAATCCTTTCTTCTCTTATTCCTCTCCTTCCTTTCCGTCTTCTCTGGCTTTTAAGTTTCACTTGAAAATAAATTTTAAAAATACATGTTCATTAGAAAAAAATTGAAAATGAAAGAAGAAATACAGTCAAGCCATTCATAATCTTATTATCTGAAGACCACTGTTGTTAATATTTGATAATATTTCCTTTCAACCATTTCCTCTATAATTATTTTCCATAGTCGTGATTATAATTTAATCTAAAACGTATTATGCTTTTCTGCTTATTTTTCTGAGTTTCAGTGTTTTAGTTTTCTGTGAATTGCCAACTCTTCAAGAATTTATTTTCATGAATAGTAATTTATCAAGAAGATATACCCACATTTACTTAATCATTTCCCTATGGTTGGAAATTTAGGTTGTTTCATCCCTTTTTCAAGCATAAATAATGTATACTTCTAAACAGAGATTTCTAAGTATTAAAGGGTATTTCCTTAATATAAATTCTCAGAAGTGGAATTATTGAGTTTCAGGCATGAGCTTTCTAAGCTTATTGTTATAAGAAGCAAAATTGCTTTCCGAGTTGATTGTACCAGTGTTTGTCCAGCGACATAAGGATGCCCATTTCACACCCTTGCTTCTTAAATGGCAATTCATGTAAAAGCTGACTTAGGGCAAAGGTAAATCGTATTGTCATTTAATTTGATCATAGTGATCTGTGCTGTATTTCAGTGGCATAAAAACAATGAAAAGGAAAGTACTTTGTAGAAAACCAACTTATGGTTACCAAGGGGGCGGGAGGAGGAGGGAGGGATAAATTGGGAGATTGGGATTGAAATATACACACTACTATGTATAAAATAGACAACTAATAAGAACCTACTGTATAGGTATTATACAGGGAACTCTACTCACTACCCGGTAATGGCCTATATGGGAAAAGCATCTAAAAAAGAGTGCATACATGTATATGTTTAACTGACTCACTTTGCTGTACAGCAGAAACTAACACAACAGTGTAAATCAACTATACTCCAATAAAAATTAAAGAAAGAAAATTACTTATTTTTACTTACATGTCCTTTTTATTGAAAAATATTGGAGCTAAATGCAGACACACATGTTTATATATATAAACACATCTCTCTCAGTTACAGAAATGACTTTTACCCATTTCTGTACTATTGATCAGATAGGGAAATGGAGTTTTGTGCTGAGGTTCGTGAACTGGTCCCAGAAAAACCCCACAGGTAGGATGTGTGGAATCCAGGAGGCCTAGAGTCAGCAGGGAAGTAAATTATGAGGATAGCACGGCAGTTTGCACTGAGTTTCTTCGTGCTCGCTCGGAAAGCCACCGATCGACCCTTGGAATAAGGATGGAGTGTATTATTTTCTGTGGATGATACAAAGGCTGGAATGAAAACTGGCATCGTCATTTCGAGTACAGAGAGGGAGGGAGAGAGACGGGAAGCCTTTGCCGAGGGAGCTACCTAGACATTTGGTTTCACTCTCTGCTGGGGAATCTACCGTAGGCTCATCCCTGTAAGCAAAGCATGAGATGGCAAGGGACCAGGTCACTTGATTACGGAGCTCCTAGAAGAGTTCCGATCCTCCAGGAGCCCTGTGGTCGTGGCAGTGGGCAGGGGGTTGGTCTGGGAGGGTCCTCAGACCGTGCAGCTTGAGACGGGCTCTCTGGAGACACTGACCCTGTTGTTCTGTCTTCCACCCGCCTCGTCCCCTGTCCCCTCCCTCTCCCCTGCCGCCGACCGTCTCCCTCCAGGTGAGCACGCCTACAAGTGTTCTTGGTGCGCCTTTTCCACCATGACCATCAGCCAGCTGAAGGAACACTCCCTCAAGGTCCACGGAAAAGCCCTGACCCTCCCCAGGCCGAGGATTGTCAGTCTCCTCTCCTCGCACGCCCACCACTCCTCCTCCCAAAAAGCCACCCCGGCCGAAGAAGTGGAAGATTCCAATGGTAAAACCGGGCTTCCGAGCCGCCATCAATCATGGGTGGGGGGAGGTGGGCTGGGGTTAACGGCCCATCCTTCTTTCTAGAGGAAAATCTGACACGAAAACCTGGCGGTTCAAGTGAAGGAAGAAACGGGAAAAGGTTGGAACAGTATAGACATTGGAGTTGGAGGGTGAAGTGAACTCGGTGAGCATCTGTTTGGTGCTGAGGCCAGACGCCCCTGCACTGGTGTGCCCGCTGCTTGTGGAAAAGAGCACGTGTGTGATGGGTTCGTGTTGGATTCTTCCGCCGTGGTTGTGAGCAAGGAGGAGGATGAATACCAGGCAGATTTCTTTCTTCGTTGACTTTCTTACTTATTGATATCCTGTCTTGTCCTTAAAAATACGTGTGCTGTGAAGTGTTCGGGGTGCCAGATGTGTAAGTTAAGGACAGAATTCAGAGGGACTGGCATGGGTGAATGGGTGGGGGCATGTGTCTGATGGGGTCACAAGATAATTTAGGGGTAACGTAGTGATTTCTGTTAACGGCTGAAGGATGTCGTGGAAGCGTCATTTGGAAGGAGGGTGTAACTGCCCACTTTTGGAAGCTTCAGACTAAATCTGGGAAGCCCTGGAAGGGGTCTCCTCACTGGCAGGCAGTGTAACGAAAGCTGTAGGAGAGAGAGAATGAGAGCGAGAGACGGCGGGTATGGCAGAGCGAGCAAAGGATGGCTTGTTGTTTTGATCCGCCCAAGAAACAGAAGGGTGTTGATTACTCAGCTCACCTCAGATGACTGCAGAATCTCGTGCTTAGGAGAGGAGGGAGTCTGGACATTCTTAGTGACGTAGAAGACCTGAGAGCTGCTCTCTTCCGTGAGCCTCTCGTGCTGGAATCCCTTCTGCGGCATCTCTGGTCACCAGTTATCTACCCCCTAGCCTGAATACTTCCCAGGTCACGGAATGGACTATTTCCCAAGGTCTGCTACTAGGTCCTTGAGAGGAACTTAGTGGGCTGGCAAGAAAGTTCAGGGGCTCTTTGGAACAAAGGCTTGGCTTTGAATCTTAACTTCTCTCAATGCCAGTTGTGTTTTCCTGGGCAATCTTAGCTTCCTAGACTCACATGACAAATTGGATAATGATACCTACCTCATGATGGCCTTGAGAGATTAATGAGAAAAGGTACATGTGTAAAATGCCTAACACAACACCTGACACATGTAGGTATTTAATAAATGGTCGTGTTATTCAGCACTTTACATCCTTTGAAGTTTTGGCTTTTGAGACCATTTACGACAACTATGAATTCGGGGTTATTTTTAATGTAAGGGTTTAAAAAGATAGAATCCTGAAGTTCTGACAGCCCAACATGTCCATGTGGGCTGGTTATCCAAATAGCAAAAGCGTAAATGAGGAATCTTCATTCACAAGGTCTGGGCGAAGACAAGTGGGAGGAAAAGAAAAGGTAAGTCCTGGGATTAAAAGCTGTCGTTACTGAGTTGTGGAACTTGGTGGCCTTTGCTTTGCACATCAGTAAACACCAGCTTCGTTGCCGGTGTTCCTGTCTTGAAGGACTTCTGTTTAACAATGAAGGCTTGTTGTTACGACGGTGGCTTGTAATGAATGAAGTGAGCGCGCTGTCTCCTCAGCTGTTGTGTGGCAGTCTAGCCTGTGTGTGTTGTTGTTTTCCAGGAAAACTTAAGAGTCTCACAGTGAGGGGTGGAGAGGAGATGGGGGGAGCATGTGTGAAAGGCCACGGAAGATGTCCCCTTTGCACCTTGAGATTCTGTTCATTGTAAGAGATTGGTATATTGCAACAAAAGGCAAAATAGAATTTGATGTAAATTGTAAGGTCTTGTTTCACATGATTGTCAATGAATTGCTTTCATCTGAAATGGAAGCTACGCTTGTGGAACCATTTGGGTGAAATTGATACATCCAAACACCATTCCCAGCAAAGGCTTTTCCTGGGACATTTCTCTCCATATTGTACCTTCTTTTCCCTTTGTCCTCCCCCCGCCCCCCTTGGAAGGGTGGGTCTTAGTCTCAGGACAAGGGAATCCCGCAGACTACTCGCTGCATGGCTTGCCTCCCTCTGTGTAGGCTGAAAAAGAGTTCCGTCAACTTCCTGAGTCTGTACTTTCTGCCAGGAGGTGTGCAACGCACAGAAGAATCATAAATGGATACAGTGCCATTCTGGCCACCCAGCAGCTTAAAATCAAATGTTTAGACGGTATTATCAGCATGGTATTGAACTAACCACAGCCCTAAGCCTGAAGCCTAACCTTTTTGGGGCTGATTTCAGGTTCTTGGAAGCTAGACTAGGTTAGGACCTTGGGAGGAGGGTGGTCGCAGAAACATGATGATAATGATATTGAGTAACTCTCTGCATAACGCCGATAGTCTGTTCAGCCACAGGGAGGTAATTTGGCAAAACATATAAAAGTGTTTTTCTTTCTTCTTCTAAAGAAAGAACAAAATGAATGTGAAAGCTCTGGGTGGCAACTCTTTAGTGAGGCCTACACAGAACTCACTGGACCTGTGCTATTTTTAATGTATATAAATAACCTGGATCAGTGGGTCCACAGTGATTTGTTTAATTTGGGTGAGGTAAACCCAAAGGTTTAAGGTGGGGTAAACAGAAAAAAGGCATCAAATGGGCTGCTCTCATGAACAGACAGAGTGGAAAGAAAAATTAATAGTGCGTCCGTTCAAAAGATATTTTCGTGAATCCTTCTGATGTAGGTCTTGCAAGGTTTTGGTTGCCCAAGAGTGATGGGAGAGGTTGAAAATGGGAAGGCTGTCTGCTAGGGAGCTGAGTGGTGGATTCCTAGAAGTGGCTACATCTGGGGCACGAAAAAACAGCTGTGGGGCTAGGCAGTAGCCTGTAAATCACGCCTTGAATGGTGTTTGAAACACGCATGTGAAATCCAGTTGCACATTTTAATAGGGGGAAGCTATAGGACCATTGGCCCTCAGTTAAGGTTTCCCACGCTGCAGATGCCAGGGCGCTCTGAACACAAGAACCAAAAATGTGTTGCAGGCCTCGGGGGGAGTAGAGATCCATAAAACCAGGGAAATCACCAGTGTGTCCTTGGCTTTCTGATCCCCTAGTGAGGGATGTGAATAAAACGACTGGACACGCTCGCTGCTGTGTGCAGTGGTCAAATGCTTGCAGTCTTGAGAGCGAGCCAGCGTTCTCCGGTAGAAGGAAACGGTCTGAACAGGAAGGTTCTTCCCTAGCTGCTCTCCCTCCCAGTGCAGAGGGGAACCCTATAAGGGAGGGAGGCTGGGAAGGCAGATGTGAGAAGGTGGAGGGGTGATTTCGCTCCCACTGCCTGGCCGCACACGTGTTCTGGACGTAAACAGAGCTCTTAGGCTCTGGGCTGTCAGTCTTGACATGTCTCACCAGCACGTGGATTCTATATGCTCTCCGTGATTGGCGGTTGGAAAGAAGAGCAGTGCTGATTCTGTGTATAAGATAATGGGAAATGACACTTAATTGCTGTTCTAAACAGTGCATTAAGGGGAAATCATAAGGTTGTCAACAAGAGGAAGTGCTCTGCTGTGTTTGTGTTTACTGGGTTCTTTCTGCCATATAAAATAGAGGACTGGGTTTTTTCAGGCTTTTTCCGAGTCTGTGCTTTCAGTACAGAAAAACACACATATGCATACATCTATAAAACAAGAAAGAAACTAGAGCAGTGTAGTTTCATTATGAGATTTGTTTAGGCCTGAGTAGTTCCACAGTGCCTGGGCAGTGGATACGTAATTTAAAATTCAGCTCTATCCTTTGTAAGAAGTCGGGCCACTGGTGACGTTCCATCTTTTTCCTCCCTCGAGTTTCCCCTAAAGATAGCTGATTTTATTTCTTCTCTCTGTCCAGTTATGCTGTACAGAATGGCCTGCTTTAGGGCAGTAGCTAGCGTGGTACGCTTAAACCAAAAATCGGACACGAAGACCGGGTGCAAAATAAATAAGGTGTGTGAGAATTAGATAGTTTTTTAACCTGTGTCCTAATGTCAGCCTAGGGAAAACACCAAGAACTTTTGGTCATGAAATCCTTCCCCTTGTAAGATAGATCTCATTGTAGCCCACCCAGCAGAGAAGTCTTTGCTAGTATGAATTGGTAGAAAAATGTAAGGAGCTTTGTGATTTTTCTTTTTTAATTTTTTTTTTCATTTGGCTTCTCGGTTCTAATCTCTAGAATAATATTTGATAAGCACTATTTTTATCAAGGCATCTCTCATCAGAAAACCACAGGCACTTCTCATGTCAAAATCCAAGTCCTCTGCGTTGCATTCACAGTTCACCACTCAGTCCCACATTCTCCATCCTGAGTGGTCTCTCCAACAAATACTTGTGTTTCCAACCATCTCTGTACTTGCTGTCCCCAGCATCTTCCGCCTTCCTTTCCACTTCCATGCATCTGAGGAAGCTCTGCTGGGAGCTTGGAAGGATTTCTTCCTTGTCTGCTTCTGTCTACCAGTCTCTGAGTTTAACTTCTAATAAAGACTGACGTTTACCAGCTCCAGCCCTACTCTGATTTCTCGTCGATTGATGATCTTCTTGGTGGTCATTTGTACTTTTGGACATGCTGTTGGTTCTGTCCTCTAATTTTCCAACGGGAATAGTTAGGTAGATACTTATTAAATACTGACTTCTTTTAACTGACCGACGATTTCTTGGAGGCATCACAGTTTTCAGTTCAGTTAATTGTACCGAGTCTCCTAGCATGTCTGACCAACTCCACAGAACCACGCTGTACAACGGTAAGTTAATTTCATTTCCATTTAAGAGGCAAGTTCAAAAGACAGATGATCCAAAGATGAAACCTTAGGGATTGCTCTAAGAGAAGCTTTCTGACACATCAGTCTGCCAAGAGGAAATGATCTTCCTTGACCAAAGAGTGTTTCCAACTTTATCATTGTTCCCTGGATAATGACACCTTCTGTAGAAGTGGGAAACTGAAGTTTGAGACAGGGTGTAAGCCTTTCCAGTACTCACGAGGAGACAGGAAGTGTGGTGGCA